TTCATTGAAGAAAAAAAAAGGGCTGATAAGCAAATTCTGAATGGAAATCTTTTTGCTTCATAAAGTTTTCTCAACACTGGAGACATGCAATTCCACGTCTATGACAGACCCTAGCCCAAGGTGCACTCTGATTTAGCTCAAAATTGTATTTACAGCTATCTTAATAGACGGCTATTTCACGATATTCTCTAAAGAGCACCATGATTTCCACGGGTTTCAGGATACTGACAAGTTTTTGAAACACACTGGCCAAATCCAAAGAAAGTTTTTTTTTTTTTTTGTTCTCTGATTTGTTCTCTTGATGGTATCTGATACTGCTTAGCATGCTGCTTATTCATTTTAGCAACCAGAACTTATAAGCGCACTTTAGAAATGTAGCAGAAAAGTAGAATTAAAAACGCTTACTTTGGTGCAATAAAATGGAAATCCGTGCAGTACTCTCTTGAAACAGATTCTCCACGAAATTTTAGAAGAGAGTTTTCATGCACAGGATTCATAAATTTTTTAAAGACTGAATTATTTATTGGAAAAGTGAAGTTACACACAGAGAGAGGGGTCTTTCCAGGGCTGGTTCACGCCCTAAATGGATGGAATGGGAGGAGGTGTAGCAGGACAAATCCCGGAGCCCCAAGGTTCCCCGGGGTCGGCCCCATGGGTGCAGGGGCCCCAGGAGAGTGTCCATCTTCGACGCCATCCCAGGCCACAACAGAGAGCTGGCCCGGAAGAGGGGCAACCGGGACAGAATCTGGCACCCCGACTGGGAATAGAACCCGTGTGCCGGCGCCGCAAGGCGGAGGATTAACCTATTGAGCCACGGTACTGGCCGTATCTGTACTTTTAAAAGACAGTTAACATTCACTTGAAATATGGCTTAAATCACTGACAATGGAGTTTTATATTGACAGCAGTATCCAATTTGCTTACCCATCTTATTTAATAGTCGCCATCTATTCTTTCTACGGAAAATCACCCAAGTGAAGATGGGACTACAGATATTTTAAAACGAAAAGGCAGCACAGATATAAAAGGAAAGCTATAATAACTTGCAAACATTCAAGAAATACGGTTTTTTTTAGAATAAAGATTTTGGATTTTGGGAGTATGACTACATAATTTAGGGGTTCAGAGGGGGGAGGCTGTGAGAGCTCCGCAGGCTCCCGCCCCCGGCCCCGTGGGCTGGGCTGGGCTGGGCGCGGTGCGGCGGCTGGGCGCACGCAGTCGGAGGCGGCGCCGCCGGCCAGGCCGCCGGGCGCCTATGGACTCGCGGAGCCCGCTGTCTCCCAGGGCCAGCGCGTTCAGCATCGCCTCTCTGGTTGCAGCCGAGGCCGCCGAGGGCACCGCCCACTGGGGTCCCGGGTCCTCTGACCCGGCGAAGCCGTGCCGGCTGCCCGGATCCCCGGCCGGGATGCACTTCAGCACCGTCACCAGGGATATGGAAGGTGAGCTTCCTGGCCGCGTCTACACCGGCCTGCCCGCCAGCCCCCCTGCCTGCACTGTTAGGAGGGAAGCGGCCCGCCGGGTGCAGAGTAGGCAGAAGGGGCTCCAGGCAGGGTGGGCTCCGTGCTCCTGGCTGCAACTCCGGAGTAGACAGGAAGGGTGGGTATCCCGCCCAGAGCCTGCCACCCACCAGCCTAAGGACCCGGCCTCGCAGACCGGCTGGAGGAGAAGGGACGGTGTAGCCCCCGGCCCGGAGAGCCTTAAGCTTGAGAGGAGAGCTGGTGGGAGAGGAACCCCTGGGGAAAAGGGAGAAGGAAAGCGGAGAGGAAAGATGAGAAAACCCGATGGACAGAAAAATGGACACGAAGAAGAGATAAAGGCAGCAAGAACGAGAGAGAGAGAGAGAGAGAGAGAGAGAGAGAGAAACCTGAGCCCAGAAAATCATCAAGAAAAAATAAGTTTAAGTTTTGTTATTTTTTTTTAAGAAAGGGGAGATCACGAATGACACAGTAGGACACGGAGAAATAGCAGGGCTGAGTTAGAGGCCGAGAGGGATGGAAACTAAAGCGAGCAGAAAGGAGAGAGGCGGGCGGAGGTGAGAGAACTAGGAAGGAGCCGCGGAGATACCGGGAGGAGGAGAGGGGTCGGGAGGCAGCCTGTGCAGGAGCGAGACAAAAGGTGAGGGCTCAGGGAGCCGGCGCGCACCGGCCCCGGCGCTCCGGGGAGCCGGTCCGGGCGGTCGGGGGGCCCACGGGGGCCCGAGCGAGCCGGGGGGCCGGGGAGGGGGCCGCGGCGGGGGAGGGGCCGGGGCCGGAGTGGGCCGGGGGGGGGGGGGCGGAGGAGGGGAGCGAGGCCATTGTCTGGGCGCGGGGGGTGGGGGTGCGCGGGGCGGGGCGGGGCGGGGCGGCTCCTCGGGGCCGGCCCGCGGTGTGGGGCGGCGCGGCCCCGGGCGCACGCAGCGCGCAGCGCAGCGCAGCGCAGCGCGGCGCCCGCCACTCGGGGCCGCGGCGCGGGCCAGCCAGCGCTCAACTCGGCGCGGGACGGCCCCCCGCGGGTCATGATCTCCGCCGTGTCCAGCCCGTGGCTCACGCAGCTCTCGCACTTCTGCGACGTTGCAGCCTTCACGGCCAGCAGCCTGAGCAGTCTGGGGGCCGCGGGGGGTTTGCCGGGCGCCGACCCGTACGGCCCGCGCGAGCCGCCGCCGCGCTACGACCCGTGCGCCGCCGCCGCCGCCGCCACCGCCCCCGGCGCCCAGGGCCCGCCGCCGCCGCCGCCGCCGCGCGCCTACCCTTTCGCGCCGGCCACTGGGGCCGCCAGTAACGCCGCCGCCGCCGCCGCCGCCGCCGCCGAGCCCGAGGGCCCCGGGGCTAGTTGCGCGGCGGCCGCCAAGGCACCGGTGAAGAAGAACGCGAAGGTGGCCAGCGTGAGCGTGCAGCTGGAAATGAAGGCGCTATGGGACGAGTTCAACCAGCTGGGCACGGAGATGATCGTTACCAAGGCCGGCAGGTCAGGGTGCCCCTCCGCGTGCCGCGCGCGCCGTCGGACCCGGGTGGAGCGGGGCTGTGGGGTGGGGGCGCGGCCCGGCCACCTGCGGGGGGCTCCCCCTCCCCGGTCGTCCGACCGCGGGCTTGGCTCCGCGCCGTCCCGGCTCGGGCGACGGCCGCCAGCGCGCGTTGGGGGGACACCGGCGCCCGGGCTTGCGGGACCTGCAGCTCCAGCGGGGCCGGCCCGGATCGCGCGCGCGCGCGCACACACACACACACACACACACACCCAGCCGAGGAAGCCGGCCCGGGGCCGCCCAGCCGTCTCCCTCAAGATCCCACTTCAAAGAAAGTCGGCTTGGGTTGCCGAATTCAGTCTATGCGGGCAAGATAGAGCAGCGCGTCGGGCAGTTGTCTGGACGGTTTGGGGGTGGGGTGGGACGGGGTGAGGTGGGAGTAGATTGAGACCCCCACAAACAGTGCCGCTGGGGCCTGTTGGAGGCTGCCACCCCCGGGGTTGCTCAGGCCTAGGTTTCGTGGGGCCTGGGCCGCGGCGCGCACGCCACCTCCTTGCCATTGGCCTGTATTTGTTTTAAGAGCTCAGAGAAGGGAACTGGTTCCGCAGATGCATCTGACTTGACCAGCGACAGACAAAGGCGGGTGCAGGGCCCTGCCTAGTGTACACAGCAGCTCCGTGTCCGCACAGCCAGAGGGGAGCTTGGGGCCTCTCTGCAAAGCCGCAGCCACTGGGAGGTTTCTGTTTCCCCGCTGGCGAGAAGTTCTCTCTGGGCAGCACCGGGCCTGTGCTCAGCTCCCCTTCTGGTCTTGTCCTGGGTCAGTGGCCCAGGCCAGCACAACAAGGACCTTCACCCAGGGGACCCCACGTTCTGCCTGCAGGGGCTCCCCATGGCAGGGAGGTGGCAGGAGGCTTGTCCTTGGCCGCTTGTGAAAGGACTGGGAAGTGGGAGCCCAGCCTGGGGCTGTCCTCCAGGGACCAGTAGCCAGCACTGCTGTGCCACCAGGCATGGAAAAAAGCCCCTGTAGGAGCTGCAAAAATGTTCACTGAGTCGGGTCGGGGTCCCGAGGAGACAGGATTTGGAGGAAGGGGGAGGCATGGCGAAGGTCTGCCCTGGGCGGCAGGAACTTGGGCCTGGGTCTTTGCGCATGGGGGAGGCCCTCCCCAACCCCAGCGTCGGGCTGGGGCTGAGAGGCCTGGAATTGTGCACCCTGGGGCCTCGGCCCCAGCTGGAGGGGCCACCCTGAGCTGCTCAGTCAGCCAGATGACCCGGTTTCACTTTGTTGGAGCCGGGAGCCGCTGAGCCGGAGCTGGGGAAGAGACCCGTGAGGCTGCGGGTGACACTGCTTAGCCGTCCTGCTGCTGACCGGGCCAGGAGCAAGGCTTGTCTGGGTCTAGGCAGGCAAAAAAAAAAAAAAAAAAAAGTGGTGGAGGAAGGCTGGGGCAGAGGGGGCTCCACGGCCCAGCCCCAGCGTGGGGCTTGCTGTTTCTGTTTGGGAGACAGGCCTGAGCGGCCCTGTCGCTGGCTGCACTTGCCCGTCACCGCCGTGGCCAGGAAAGGGGGCCTCTAGTTTGGGGTGAGAGCGGCTAAGTCCCGGGGTAGAAGATGAGATGGAAAAGGCTGGGCCCATCCCGGCCAGGGGTACCCCCTCCGAGGGAGGCTGGAGGAGAGGGGTGACCTGAGGCTCCCGTCTGGTCCCCAGGCGCATGTTCCCCACCTTCCAAGTGAAACTCTTCGGCATGGATCCCATGGCGGAGTACATGTTGCTCATGGATTTTGTGCCGGTGGACGACAAGCGTTACCGGTGAGCCAGCCCTCGGGGTCACCCTGGGCCTGGGGCGGGAGCCCTGGGGAGCGTCAGTGAGTGACCGGGACCTCCCGGGCACCTGCACCCGGCTTCTCATAGCCTTCTCAACCTTCTCCCTCCCCTGTGGCCATCCAACCGAATACTCGCCCCCCCCACCCCTACGTGCACAGGCTGACTCTCCCCCCTCCCGCCACACAGGTCCCAGACAGCTTCTCCCCTCCCCCCGATTTCTTCAGGGCGCCCGCTCCCACCACAGCCAGGCAGGAGTGCCACGTTCCCTTCCCCCCCACTCCCCATCCCCAGGGAAACGCTGGGTCCCCGAGCCGGGGCCGGAAAGGAGGGGTGGCTGGGAGAGATTATGCAGGGCGGGCCTGGGCAGCTGGGACAATTAAAAGCAATTAATAAAAGGAACGGTGGACCGCCCTGCGCCCGAGGCTGCGGGCAAGGCCACATCCAAGGCTCCTGCCGCGTCGGCACCGGCACCGGCCACCAGCCACTGGGGCAGGCAGACCCGCGTGCAGCGAAACCAGGAGCCGTGGGGAACGCGGCTTCGCTTTCCCAGGTCCCAGCGGGGTCCCTGCTCCTGGCTTCGTCGCAGGTTGTGGGCGAGGGGGTTTTCTGGTTTCCCCAGCCCCCCGGGGGAAGAGACTGCCGACCCGGGAGGACTTGAATTCCATCAGTGGCTCTTCCCCCAGCACCCCGACAGGGGCAAGGGCCAAGGCAGCCTTGGTCCACCCCCACCATGGCGGGGGGACCCTCATTCCAGTGCCGGCGCCCGCCAGGTACGCCTTCCACAGCTCCTCCTGGCTGGTGGCGGGCAAGGCAGATCCTGCCACACCGGGCCGCGTGCATTACCACCCGGACTCGCCGGCCAAGGGCGCGCAATGGATGAAGCAGATCGTGTCCTTCGACAAGCTCAAGCTGACCAACAACCTGCTGGACGATAACGGCCACGTGAGCAGCCCCCGGGGTCCCGCTGCAGGGCCTCCAGGGTCCCCGGCAATCAGGGGCAGTGGCTGGGGTGGGTGCGCCCACGAGGGCCAGGCTATGGGGAAGAGCAGGCTGCTGGGCAGAGGCTGGGGCAGGCAGGAAGCTGTGTGGAATTCACTCCATGCCGGAGCAGTGGCCTCACCGACTTGCTGGCTGTGTCACTCACTGCCTATCGGGGACCTAAGGAAAGAGAAGCCCAGCTCCAACGTTCTCTTTCGGCCACTGGGACAGTCCCCAGCGGGTCTCAGCTTCTCTTCTTGGGAGCTGAGCATTTTCTGTGCCTTACCCAGGAAGTCCCATTGCTTACTCTCAGCTCCTTTTGTAACTCCCACCACCCCACTGGAGCCGATGCCCCTCCCCCACCTTGTCTTCCAGATCATTCTAAACTCCATGCACAGATACCAGCCCCGTTTCCATGTGGTCTACGTGGACCCGCGCAAAGACAGTGAGAAGTACGCCGAGGAGAACTTCAAAACCTTCGTGTTCGAGGAGACTCGCTTCACGGCCGTTACCGCCTACCAGAACCACCGGGTGAGGCTCGGCGAGTCCAGCGGCGCGGGTGCCGCTGCCGGTGCCGGTGCGGCACGACACTACCCCCCTCCCCTCCTTCCAAGGGCCAGCCCCCTATCAGCTTGACCTTTGCAGCAGCGACTGTCACTCTGAGGGCAACCGGAAAGTTTGTTTTCCAAACCATTCCGGAAACTTCCCACCAGGGGGGCCTGGGTCGGAGGCTTCCCGAGAATCCTAGGACGTCCACTCGGTTCTCCATCCCCGTACGGCGAACGACATTCCCATCCCAGCCATTGGGCACAGGGGTCTGCATCCCCACTCACCCAGGGCCCGGCAACGTGAAGACCCCTCCTCACCACCACCACCACTACCACCAAGGAGGGAGACGAAGCCCCTCCCCAGGCGCGCGCTGCAGGAGGGAGGCGCGACCTCCCAGGGGGAGGGGCAGGCGGCACAGCGAGGTCTTTCCTGGAGGGGGACCTCCTAACACTCCCTGATCGCCCCCTCCTCTCCCCGTCCACCGCCCCGCGGGGTCGCGTGGCCGCCGGCGGCTAGTTCAAGCCCGCTTCCCCGTAGATCACGCAACTCAAGATCGCCAGCAACCCCTTCGCCAAAGGTTTCCGCGATTGTGATCCCGAGGACTGGTGAGTGTGCTCCAAGCAGACAGCGGATACCACTCTCCCGTCCCCTTCCCTGCCTGGGGGCGCCCGGCCGGGGTGGGGTGGGGGGCGCCGCCCTCACGCCCCGCCCTGCTGTCCAGGCCCCGGAACCACCGGCCGGGCGCGCTGCCGCTCATGAGCGCCTTCGCGCGCTCGCGGAACCCCGTGGCCTCCCCGACGCAGCCCAACGGCGCCGAGAAAGGTAAGCCCGGGGGTCGTAGGACCCGGGCCGACGGCCGCGCCCGGCCTCGCCTGCGCCCCTTCCCCAGCCCCACCCCCTCCCCGGCGTGCTCGCGGCCTTGGCGCGCGCGGGTTGCACAACGGCCTGGGCAAGCGCGCACTCGCCCGGCCCGGCCCGACGGCTGCGCCCCGCCCGCGGGCCCCACCCCGCCTCCTCCTCTGCCGCCGCCCGCCTGCCCGTCGGCCGGCCCGCCGAGGGGCGCAGGCCCCGGGGGAGCACCCGGGGCGCCCGAGCGCGCGGCCTCTCGCTCACCCCTCGGCACTCCCCGCAGACGCGGCCGAGGCCCGGCGAGAGTTCGAGCGCGACACGGGCGGGCCGGCCGTGCTGGCGGATCCCGCGCACCCGCCGCAGCTGCTGGCGCGGGTGCTGAGCCCCGCACTGCCCGGGGCCGGCGGCGCCGGCGGACTCGTGCCGCTGCCCGGCGCTCCCGGAGGCCGGCCCAGCCCCCCGCACCCGGAGCTGCGCCTGGAGGCGCCCGGCGCGTCGGAGCCGCTGCACCACCACCCGTACAAGTATCCGGCAGCCGCCTACGACCACTATCTCGGGGCCAAAAGCCGGCCGGCGCCCTATCCGCTCCCGGGTCTGCGCGGCCACGGCTACCACCCGCACGCGCACGCACACCCGCACGCGCACCACCACCCGGCCGTGAGCCCGGCCGCCGCCGCCGCCGCAGCAGCAGCAGCCGCCGCCGCAGCCAACATGTACTCGTCCGCGGGTCCCGCACCGCCCGGCCCCTACGACTACTGCCCCAGATAACGCGCGCCCCGACGGCCGGCCCGGGCAGGAACGCGCTTCCTAGTCCGGGGCCGCCACGGGTCGCCCCTTCCCCGGCCTCGAGGTCCTTAGGGTGGGGGGTGGGGTGGGGGGATCTCTGCAGCCGCCAGCCCCAAGGGCCGCGCGGGGATCCCCCTGCCCGCCAGTGCCAAATCACCCGGTCTGAGGCGGTTGAGGAAGCGGGTATTTATTGTTCTCCCTCCCCTTGGACCGCGTCGTCCTGTGGCCGGCCGGCAGTTGCAGTGTAGACGACCCGAGCGAGAGCCCCCGCCGGTAGGCGGTGTAGATACGTGTAGATATGTGTAGATACTGTAGATAACTGCGCCGGCGCCGACTTGATAAACGGTTTCGCCTCTTTTGGAAGCTGCCTGCGTGTCCTCCTGTTAGTGTTAAGATTGCGCGCTCGTGCGTCTGTGTGTGTGTGTGTGTGCGCGCGCGGGGAGAAGAGGACCCGACTTCGGGTTTGGGGGTGAGAATGAGTCCGGGATGAGTTGGGGGCTTTGACCTCCCTGCAGGACGCACCAGGCGGGTGAGGTGTCCCAGGTTCGGGCTGTGCCGAGCCTGCCTTTTCCGAGCCCCTCTGGCGTGTGCATTCCGCCTTGTTTCAAGTCTTTAACACCTGCAGGTGCGCCCCTGTGCCTCGACGCGGCCCCCAGCCTCCCCCTGTTCCCCCTCGCACACCCCTGCCCCTGCCCTGCCCTGTGTTCAGGATTCGTCCGGTGCTTTTCCGTGGAAGCCGGGAATGAACGGTCCTGACGGGACACTGTCCAACCCCGACTGGGAGAGGAAGAAGCCCTTGACCTTGGGGGGGATCACGAAAACAGGCAGCTCTGCTCTGCTCCGGCGTTTCCCCTGGCCGAGCCAGCCCCGCGCTTTCCCCATGTTTATTGATTTTATGCGCTGCGAATGTCCCCGTGGAGTGACCCGCTCGAGGGGGGCACAATGACAGTGGTCATGAGTCATCTCCAAACCTGTGTGCGCAGCGTTTTCCCAGGCCAGGTGGCCGAGGGACCTCTCCCCGTTAACTCAACACCGAGGACGGGGGCCAGCGAAACCCTTTGATCCCTCCCTTCCTGCGTGGGACTGGAGGGAAAAAGCTGACAGTTCGTCAGTGTCAAGGCTGCTGACACGGGATGAACAGGAAACACACGTGGCCGGGGCTCTCCCCCCTCCCCACCCCTCCCACACACCACCCCCACCCTCTGTGCCTGTCCAGTGTCCCCGCCTCTCCTACGTGGCAGCGCCAGTCTCTCCAAGGACACACCCAGGGTTTTCCAGATGTCGGTCCTGGGACTGGACCCGTTCTTTCGTGCTGGGTGTGTTTGCCCTGATGGTGCGAAGCGACTAGGACAATGACGGGGGCTTTGTGATCGGAAGGCGGGGCAGAGGAGGTGACCAGGGTGTGAAGGCTCCTATCGCGTCCTCCCCATGGCCAGCGGACTCCATGTGCCCACGGCTGGCTCTGCAGCCCATTTCCCGGTCCTGCTGTCTCCCGTGCCCCTTGGAATCAGTGGCCTGTGACAGCGGGCTCCTGGCCCGGCACAGCCCATTTATGCCTCGCACCGTCTCCTGCTTTGTCTTTGGGAGACCAGGGTTCCCCGCCTTGGTTTTGGGCAAAGCTGGAGGGAAAAGCTGTCCTCTGAGTGAATCATGGCACCCAGTGTTGGTACGTGAGGGTGGGCGGGGGCGCTCACAGGACCTAGGAGGTGCAGCTCCCTGGCTGACGTCTCTCCTAGCAGGATGCCTGTCAGCATGGCCACCAAGTGGCCAAGTGTGGCTGCAGCATTTAAAAAAATTTTTTTTTGGTGGGGCGGTGAGGGGGAAGATTTTATTTATTTGAAAGGCAGAGTCAGAGAGAGAGGAGAGATAGATCTTCCCTCGGCTGGTTCGCTTCCCAAATGGCTGCAACAGCCGGGGCTGATCCATGCTGAAGCCAGGAGCCTGGAACTGCATCTGGGTCTCCCATTTGGGTGGCAGGTGCATTAGCAGGGAGCTGGATCAGAAGTGGAGCAGCCAGGATTCGAACCGGCGAGCATGTGGGATGCCGGTATACAGGTGGTGGCTTAACCCGATGTGCCACTCAACACTGATTGATGTATTTGGAAGAATTACAGGGAGAGGGAGAGGGGAGGAAGGCCGGGGAGAGAGAGAGAATTTTCTCATCCACTGATTAGCTCTGCAAATGCCTGCAGCACCCAGGGCTGGCCAGGCCAGAAGCCAGGTCTCCCATGTGGCTGGCAGGGGCCCCAGCACTTGAGGCATTTCACCACTTTCCAGGGTGCACGTTAGCGGGAAGCTGGGTCAGAAGCTGAGCCAGGCCCCAGGCCCCTCTGATAGGGGATCCAGGTGCCTTAACCGCCGTGCAAAATGCCCAACCAGCCCCCAGCCTCCCCGCCCCGTTTTACATGTTCCTGACTTTATAAAAACAAACACTGTGGTCTCCATCCCGATGCCCAGTGCCCAGCGACTGATGGACTGAAGTCCCCCACCCCCAACCTCGGCCTGTGCAGGTGAGGGCGCCCCCTGCGTGGGGGAGGGCCCCGAGGAGGAATCTGTCCGTCTGTGAACTCCTCCTAAAACGGGAGCCCACGGCGGGGCGCGGGGTGTGGCGAGGCCCTCAGGATCGCCGCGCACCGTCTCTGTCTCTCGTGCATCCCCGGAACGAGTGCGCGGTGAGCGCCCCCCAGCGGCAGGTAGGTGCGGTCTGGCTGCTCCCCGGCCCGGCGGCCGGGCTGGGAGGCGGGGCCTTTGGGAGGTGACGTGCGCCTGGGGGCGGAGCCCAGGGAGAGAGAAGAGGAGAGTGAGCCCTGGGGAGTGAAAGGGCCCTTTGCAGAAGCCAGCGGTGCTGCCAGTCCGTTTAGGACGTGTTACAGTCCTGCCCTGGATCTTCCTGGGGGAGGGCGGGGTCCCAGGTGATTCAGAGCCTCATCCTGCCCTCTGACCCCAGCCCGTGGCCAGAACTCCCGGGTCTAGACTCCTCCAGCGTCTTAAGGAAACCACAGACACTCGACTCAGGGGGACAGAACTCTATACTGTGCGTTTTGGAGGGCTGGGGGTGGGGTTGGAGGGGCGTCCAGGCCCCCAGCATCGTTTTCATCCCTGCTAAAGGATCTAAGGAATGCCAGGACCCTGGTGACCCCACAGGTGCTTAGCTTGGCCAAGACCAAGCCCAGAGCCACACCCGGTCTTCCCCGGTCTTCTGCCGCTGCCCTGGGGTAGGCCTGCCTGGACGGGGCCTTTTTGGGGTGCTGAGGGAGGAGTGCACAGGGATCCAGGTGTGGGGTGCAGTCTATTCAGCTGCAGAGGGAAAAAGAGACCCCACGGTGGTCTTGGGGCTCCAGCCCCGCCCCACCCCGCCCCGGGGCCACCCTCCAGCGGGAGAAATCTGAGGAGGGGCGGAGCGTGTGGGGTCTGTGTGATGACAGCTTCGGGAGTCTGAGACACTGCGCTGCAGGTGTGTGGAGTCCCACGTGGCTGCAGCCACCTGGGGCACAGCCAGCCAGCCTCATGCCGGTGGACGGTGGCCGCGCAGCCCAGCCTACAGCCGGCAGGAAGGAGAGCACCATGAGTCTGTTCCAGAGGCCCCGTGCCTCGGTTTCCCCTGCTGACCCCTATCACGGTCAGGGAGAGGCAAGATGAATGTTCCAGCGCCCCCAGCTCACACAGGGGCCTCCAGCATTCGCCAGAGAGCTTCCCCGGACCATGATAGGATCTGCTGGTCCACTCCCCAAATGGCTGCAATGGCCAGAGCTGCGCCAATCCGAAGCCAAGAGCTAGGCGCTTCTTCTGCGTCTCCCATGTGGGTGCAGGGACCCAAGGACTTGAGCCATCTTCTGCTTTCCCAGGCCATACCAGAGAGTTGGATAGGAAGAGGAGCAACCGGGTCTGGAACTGGTGCCCATATGGGATGCCGGCACTGCAGGCGGCGGCTTTACCTGCTATGTCACAGTGCCAACCCCTCCAGCCACTCTTGCACCTGTGCCTCCTTCACCCCTGAGCCACCTCTGCATCCTTTAGGAGCGCAGCTGGAGGCAGGCAGGAGACACAGCCCCAGGTTGGGGTGCTGCAGGGGGGTGGCATCCCACGTGTCCCCTGACTCCCAGGGCAAGCCAGACCCTTTTCCACGTTTCCGAAACCACGCATGGTGCTTTTGATTCCACCCCCTTCCTGCTTGTTCTGTTCCTTCAAACCAGGTGCCCCACCCCCACCCCACCCCGCAAACCCTGCCAGGACTACGTGTGGCGAAGAGCCCAGGCAAAGGTTTCCAAGCAGCCCCCATGGAGGAGCCGCTTGGGGTTTAATAGCAGTAATTAAACGATCTCCTTAATTACAAGGAGGACCCGCATGGCCAACATGCGTTATCTATCAGCCCTCGATCACACGAGGTAAGCCCTTAATCCCCTCCTTCCAGTGCCCCCCCCCCCCCGGCCCTGGGCCCTGCTCCAGCAATGCAGACCCCCCCAGGGGGGCGTGTGGAGGCGCAGCACCCGCTGCACTACGGGGGGGTTTTCCCACTGGCATGCCGGGGGCTCTGAGTCTCGCTCTCCTGGTTGCACCAGGAGAGCAGTGGTGCCAAGGGGCGGTGGCAGGGAAGCAGTGGCTGCCTTTTCAGCCACAAGTGAGGGTTTGGCCAGGTCGTGGTTAAGACGCTTCCTGTCCCCAGCTCTGGCTCCTGACCCCAACTTCCTGGCGGATGAGCTTTTTGGTTGCAGAACGTCTGTTCAGGCCCCGGCTACTCGGTTTCCGATCGAGCGCCCTGCTAATGCACCTGGGAAGGCAGCGGGGGATGGTCTGAGTGCTTGGGCCCCTGCACCCACATGGGAGACTGGGATGGAGTTCCTGGCTCCTGGCTTCAGGTTTCAGCCTGGCCCAGATGTGGCCATTGCAGCTCTTTGGGGAGTGAACCAGCAGATGGAACACTGCACTCTGTCACTCTACCTTTCAATACATAAAACAAACAAACAAACAAACAAACAAAAAACTGCTTGAGTTTGTCTTTCTTTTTTTAACTGTGAAATTGACTTATCTTTCAATATTGTTTTTCCATGAATGTCTTAACGTTTCCTTGTATTTCTGCATTCGTTATGGCCTGGGCAGCTCTGAGGTTGCTCGGGTCACTTCTTGGGGGACTCCTCCTCTACACACACCCCCATTTCTCAGTGTGCTCCTTACCCTTCTCTGCCACTCTAGCCTCAACTCTTTCTTTTATTTTAAAGATTTATTTATTGATTTTGAAAGGGGGGGATCTTCTATCTGCTGATTTGCTCCCTAGCTGGTTGCAATGGCCAGCGCTGGGGCAGGCCAAAGCCACAGGGCCAGCAGTGTCATCCAGGTCTTCCAGGTGGAAGCACCATCCTCTGCTG